CCCCCCCCCCCACACCCCCCCCCCCCCTCGGTTGCTGACTGGTCACAGGGGGAGGGGGGCATATGCCCCCCCGACTAATGCAGCACCAGTCACCCATGCAAGGAGCCCTCCGAACAGACAGAAGTTCACTTTTGGTTTGGGGGGAAGGGGGAGGGGCATCTAGCTGCTGGCTACTGGCCTGCAGTCAGTTTCCTTTAGCAATGGCCCCTGCTCGTTGCTAGGCTAAAAAGTTTTCAGAATGGGAGGGTAGAAAGGGAGCAGACGGAGCTTCTTCTACAGGTTCCCCCAGTTGGTCTAGTGGGTGGGGTGGGTGAATTGGAGCCCGCCCCACCTCTGGTGGGGGCTCCACTACACCTGCCCCACCCTTCAGTGGGGGCTGAAAAACCCCCATACTGAACAACCCCCGCTCCCTTTCCACCCTTCCATTCTGAAAACAGTGACAGACTGGCAGGCAGTGCAGACAAGTTACAGAAGATGCTTTGTTTTGAAACATCTTCATCTGGCCCCTCATACAGTGGGTCAGAAAATACAGATTTTCACCCAATCCATTTTTTGCCATTTTTTGAAGCTGTCTGCATCCATGCAGTTGTGTTTGGTCACAGTTATAAACTGCTTTTTGTGGCCAGGTTGGGTGAAAAATATCACTTCTGTCTGCACACTTGGTGATTTACAGAGCTCTTAAGCAATAATGCATGGTTTTGCCTTATATATGCTATGGTCTGAGTAATGTTCGTTTGCATGCTACAGCATTTTTCTATGGGCATGTCTTATATTTTTGTTTTTCCCTCAAGTATCGACCAGGGGGCATCTCATTTCATTCGTAGAAGAGGTGATTTCCCCTCCCCACCCCCCCCACCCATAATTTCCTATTTCTCAGTAAAACCAACTTATATCAGAATATCTATAAACGTATGGCATACCTGCTGCATTCGCAGTTGGGATGACTCATCATTAGATAGCTCCTCATGTAAAGTGCTTTAGAACCATATTGTAAGATAGGTACTAACAAGAGCAGTTGGGTAAGTTTTATTCAGGTAACTACTCCCACAGAACTCCAACATTATGAAATTACCACAGGTCTCATTTAAATTTGCTGAAATTCATGGAAAGATTAGCATGATTCCAGTGGGTTTTGATCTCCACTGCAGTGCTTGCAGGATGTGGCCCTAAACATGTATCAGAGAAACAAAGGAGAGGTAGGGAATACACATTGTCAAACCCTCTCTCCCCACTTCTGTGTCTTGTTTTTTCTTTCTTTTTTTAATGAGATCCTTGCTTCATTTGGCTTCATTTTTGTTGAACCCTTTCCTATTATCCTTTCTTGATTACTTATACTCCGAGGTACTCTTGCATATTTTCCTAGTTTGTTTTTAAGATTGATGTTTATCTTGAATCACTTTTAGATTCAAAGTTTTCCTTTATAAGTCTAGATCATTTATGACCTGTGGCTGTAATGCTTGTTCTGCATTTTATTTACAGATACCATTTTTATTGCTTCTATTAATTTCAGCTCTTGATTCTGCCAACAGTTATTCATATTCTTATGTGTCCTCACATGAGTAATCCTGTTGGCAGTGGAACTAACCTTTAGAATCTGTGCAAATATTTGTAGGATTGGATTCCTTTATTTTCATTATTCTTTTTAACACCTTGTCCTAATTTAATTAGATATTACTTATAACTTCTCCCATCCTCCATGCCATTTTGAATAGGGACCTGTAACTTTCTCCCAGCAGTCTGTCTCTCGAATTGCCATCTCCTTGATTCTGCATGAAACCATCTTTCTCCTTCATAAAAGGGCAGAATAAATTTCCAGTAATAAATGTAAAGTAACTATTAAATTGGATTGACAGTAGTCACATAGAATGAAGCTGCACTGTAGTCTAAAGTGGAGGTCAGGTGAAGCATGATGGATGGTCTCTGATACTGTTGGTCTCTTACAGCCTTATACTGTTTAAAAGAAATATGGCCTCAGTAGGACTTGGTTTACTCCTATTGAATTCAATTGAGAGCTTCTATTGGCCTCAGTCGGTGAAGGATCAAGTCTATGTATTCTGCATAATTCCACAGCTTGGAGCATCATGGCTCAAGCTTCCAAATAGCTCTTTTATCTCCTGGACATTCACCATCCAGCTTTATGGCAGGGTGTGGGGGAGCTAGACTGTTCTCAGTGGATGGATGGAGCTGGACTGTTCTCAGTGGTGGCAGATGACAGAACAAGGAACAACGGTCTCAAGTTGCAGCAAGGGAGGTTTAGGTTAGATATTAGGAAGAACTTTTTCACTAAGAGGGTAGTAAAACACTGGAACAGGTTACTCAGAGAGGTTATGGAATCTCCATCCTTGGAGGTTTTTAAGACCGGGCTAGACAAAGCTTTGGCTGGGATGATCTAGTTGGGGCTGGTCCTGCTTTGAGTAGGGCGTTGAACTAGATGGCCTCTTGAGGTCCCTTCCAACCCCAATTTTCTGTGATTCTGTGAAGTGTCATTACTCTTTAAACAATAGACTAGGATCAGGAACAGATTTGGGAATTTCGGGGTCCTTACTGAGTTTATTCTATAGATTCTTTGGCTTCTCCCTTCTTCCATAAACCTGCTGATTTATCACTTTACTTTCACCTATTCTTAGGGATCTTCTTAAATTGCAGTGAGACAAAAGACTTTTCATGGCTTGCTTGTAGAGCCAATTTCATGGGCCTTTTGTAGCAGCCCCTCCCCTTGATGCTGATTGGCAGAGAGGTCCTTGGCAGTGATTGGGAGAGAAGCCCTGGGAGGGAAGCAGGGATGAGGGGACATCCACCATCTTGTCTACTATTCTTCATGTTGCCCTGCCAGCCAACACCTTCCCTGCTGGGGATCCAGCATTTTATTTTTATTAACTTTTTTGTTGATTTGCAGATTTTGCGGACCATCCTGGATTTTGTGGTTTCCCTGAAATCTGTGAAACTGCAAGTGAAGTAGGTCCCTACCTGTTATATTTCCCCAAATCTATCCCCGGAATATGGACAATACTATGAATGAATCATTTTTCTTTGCTCTGTGCACGGGGAGAAGAGGGTCCTGTACACTTGTATTCAGTGTGAGTAAATGGAGAGCATAGATTCTTTGCTAATACCAAAGAGAAGCTGGACTATAGCAAGGAGCAGCTGCCCTTCTCCAGTCAAAGACTATTGTGCAGATTATGTGTCCTAGTCTTACTCATTTACCTCTTTGGATGCTACAAACTAGGTCTAGGTGTAAATCTGGAAAAGTAAAACCTCCAGTTTAGAGAGAGGCTCAAGTCTCTTAAAAGCTGGATCTAGCTTACCTCACTTGTCCATATAGCTTCACTGAATACTTGCTTGAGCAGGGCCAGGAGAATTGGTGTGTGCAAACCAACTGAAAGAAAAAAGTAACGTGATTGAAATGGAGCAGGGGTGTCAAACATACAGCTCATGGGCTGGATGTGGCCTGCAGAGCCACTCGATCCGACCCACCTGGTTACTGGCAGGCCGCCAGAAGTTGTGGGGAGGGGTGTGGTCTGCTGCAGAGTCTGAGACCATTGGGCTCTGGTCAACACAGCGATTGGTGGCAGGAGGGTGAGTGGGGGCTGATGCCCTTTGGCCACTTTGCCTTTTGCCACTGCTGTGGCCTGAGCTATTTGGCTGCCAGCCCCACAGCTGCTGTCACACCCTATCCCATGCCAGAGCTGGAGCTGCCACCACAGCATGGGGCAGGTGACAGCTTGAGCCCAGGTACAGCTGTTGCTGCTGCATGCCCTGGGCTGGTTCCAGCCCACAAGGAACCCCATGGTCTGGATCTGGCCTAGGACATAGGCAAGTTTGACATCCCTGAAATAGACAATGAGATTATACAAATTGTTGTTGCAACTATAAACCCTTATTTAGGTTGGGGTGGTCGGGGAGGGGATTGACAAACCTTTGTTCCATTTTTTTTTTTTTTTTTTGCTGTAGAGTTCAGCAAGTCTCATCTTTGTAGTATGTAGTCTTATTTTCTGTTTCTAATGGGCATTTCAATTACCTCTCCAGAAACTCTATCCAGTTGACAAAGTCTCTTTAATTGGAAAGCAATAGCTTTTAATTGTTGGGAATTGTGAATGAGAGTACAGCTGAGAGGCAACACTTTGTTTAGCTGTTGTACATTATCACAGCACTAGAGTCAGTTTTCTAGACCAGAGTGCTGGTAGCATTAATGACTAGGACAGCTGGAGTGAATCTTAATAGAATCAGTTGTAAAGACAGATCAAAGTTTCAGATCATTTGCAGCCTGGCATTTCTTGTTTGATCAGTAATTTCTCACTTGGTTTCTCTCTCTCTCTCTTGTTTTTTTTTAACATTTTTCTTTAAAACATGGACAAAAGAACAACTATCACCACCCAAAAGGTAAAGAGAAGACGGGGAAAATCCCTCATATTTCAGTGAATGTCGTACAGTGGGCAGATGACTGTTTATCCAATCTTTTGAGTGCTTAATGGGGTTCATTGAACTAATACAGTGCAAACAGCAGTGCCTCCTGCCTTTGATCAATCAAGTGGTCCTTCCAGTAGGCTTTGGAGCCAAGATATTTTCCTTTCATCCTCTGGGCTTTGTCATGGCCGCTGTGTTGATTAGAAACACAGATGCCTGCCTCAGACAAGAAAGAGAAAGAAGCCAATGTGCTGACTTGAGGAAGTGTGTCAGTGCAGCCTCCAAGCAGGAAAATCACTAAGCCACAACAACAGGTGAATTGGATGGGAGTTAAAAGGAGATGGGAGAGAGCAGGCAACTGAGGATGAAAGATAGCCGGGGGCAAGGAAAATGGCAATAAACATCCCCACTTGTGTTATTCTTTACTTTATGGTAAATGTCACTCTTCTAATTACATCGGTAGGTTGTCGAAATGGGGAAGTTACCATGCAGTAAACTTGGGTGTGAATTTACAGCATGTTTGCTGCTCCAAACAAACACCTCATGGAAAGTCTGAATGCATGTAAAGAATGCTTTTGTGTGTGGCGGCTGACTCCATTCTGACAAGGAAATGAGCTCCTCTTTCTCAATGTGTAGTAAGACTGTCTACTCGGAGGCTTTGCAGAGAGTAGCCAGTACAAGGTAGATCCACAGCAGCAGTTTGAACTGACAGGTACAAGTAGTCCAGACAGGTTGCAAGGTGCTAAGTGTGAAGTGGACTTCAGAAATTAATGCCCAGGACTTGAACAGCTGAAGTTAGTCTCTTTTGAGCAATCACTTGCAGCTCTCTGTGGTAAGAACAGTGGCTGAAGCACTGTGCCTAGATTCATACAGCTCTAGTTAGGCAAGGTTACAGGTCACTATGATCATAGGCAACTGGTCGGGGAGGTACGGGGGCACATATGCAATCCCTGACAGGCCCATCCCTGTTGCTGACACTACCGCCAGCTTCTGCAGGTGCTTGCCAGCCCCCTCCCCACTGCTGGCTTCTGCGGGTGGTCGCCAGCCCCGTCCCTGCTGCTGATGCTGCCGCTGGCTTCTGCAGGTGCCTCCCCGTACTCAGGAGGCACCAGACTTCCATGGCTATGATGGATATGTTGTGCAGTGGAAAAAATTGAACGCAATTGGTTAAAATGACTGCTGCTAACGGTTAAAATATGGTGGCTGCAGCTTTAGTAGGGACTGTCCAAAAGGGTGAGGTGCTTGTGCATAATTTGTTCTTGGAAATGGTGTGATATTTGTGTGCGCGTGTGTGTTGCTTACCAGTTGCTTAAATAGAATCTGCCAATTCAGTCCCTTGAATGGTTGTTTTAAATTAAAGCTGTTTGTAGCATTTGATTTTGTTAGTTCTTTTCAGAAATCATATTTAAGGAAATGATGTCCTTCTCATTCCCTTCTCCCCACAAGCCCCTCCTCCTCTTTGGTTTTTTGTTTTGTGATGGAGTCTTTTTTTCTTTTTTTTTTCCTCTTAGCAATTTGATTGATCCTCCTTTTTTCATTTCCACATTGCTGGCTGCATATGGAACCCCACTCAGCTTTAGCTGAGACAAAATCGACTGCACACAATTTGCCTCTGACAGCTTGTACAAGAGCAAACATTTCCGAAGAGCTGAAAGTCTAGAAATTCAATCAGCGGAAAACCTACTGTGTGGAACAGCTTTGCTAGTGCTACAGCTCCCTGCTGGGTAGAAAAGCAATCCAGTTACAATAAATCCTTAAGAGTGGAGTCATTTGGGTAAAAGGAAAAACAAAAGCTGGTTTATACAAACTGATTGAAGTCAGACGTTTTGACTTCCCATTGAAAAGGGAGTCAAGGCCCAGGCTTGCTTGGTAATTTAAAGGGGAGATTGACTCCTTTCATCTTTCTCTTGGGCAGGTTCTTAGTATTTTGCTTGTGGAGCAACGTAAAGAGTTTTCAACTTAAGTTAAACATAGCTTCTTTGATATCAGTAGTGTTGATACTGTGGCTAACTATGAACTGAATTGGGTTGGGACACTTCAGCCAGCAAGGAGGGTCTGATTCTGATACCAGCAACACGGATGATACGTCATTGTAGTATCATGACCGTGAGAATACTGTACGACTGATATTAGAATTGGGTCTGCTGTGTTAGACCAGTGTAGCTCAGTGAATTATGCTCTTCATTGCTACAAAGTCGCATGATCACGTGCTCATTTTAGGAACCCATACAACCTTCTGCAAATTCCTAATATGAAGGCAGAGCTGCATGTACTGTGGGAAACAGCATCTATTCTCTTCTCTTCAATTCCCATTTGCTCCTTGGATATGAGAAATTAAATAGTACTTTGAAACTTAGTTAAATAAAAATGAAATACCTGTGGAGAAAGCAGTGCCAATTGTGGGGAGGTATCTGTAACTGGTCCATGTTTAAAATAAAAAATATTTGGGGTCTTATAAATTCCCCTCAGCCCCTTTGCCATCTTGGTGTCTTTTAAAAAATTGCATTTTCCCTCCCTTTCAGCCTTTTTTTGGTTTTGGGCATCTTTCAAAGTACACCTTTCAAACAGTAACATAGGAAATGACCAACCAGCTGAAAAGGAAAATGGGAAATGCTGAGATTTTTTTTCTGATGGCTTTCAGGTGTTAGTTATTACTGTAAGTAAAATCTTTCCAGACAGATGTGAATCATCCCTTTAATGGCAGCATGGGGCTCAGTTGTAACTACTGCCCTGCATATAATCTCTGCTTATCTGTGTCCCCCTCCAAAAAGTCTGATCCTTGTGAAAAATTTGGAAGATTCTGTAAATGTTGCAGAGGATGAAATCTACTTTTTCTGTTCTTTCTCTTTAAATGTGACGTTAAAAATCAGTGAGCAAATGATTGCCTGTCCTTGCCACACAACTGGAGATGAATTATGGTTGTGTTGCTTTGCTTTCTTTAAGTATAGTAACTTGGTATGGGTCTTAACTTTTAACTCATGTCACTTCTGTAATTGCCACCCAACTTTTACGATTTGTGGTCCTATGGAGAATTTTTGGGATGGTAAACCCTCTCCCCTACACCCTTGCATATGTTGTCTAAAGGCAGAAGATGAGGAAGGGTGGTACTAACTAACAGTTACTCTCAGGCTAAATACAGGAGTTCAAAAAGGCCGAAGCAGAAGTGCTCCAACTTTCAAGCTTTACTCTAAGTGCTCAAGGTTAGGTTGGGAGCAAGCAGAATACATGTTAACCCTCTGTGGGGGAGGTGAGGTTTGGAGCCTGCCTATATGGCTCAAGCCCAGCAGGTGGTGTATGGGTGGGGGAGGGGGATGCTGCTGCATGCCTCTGTGTATCTTGCAGGCTCCCTGACCTACTGAAGAATCCTGAGCAGAGCCGAACAGTTTAGCTACCCCTGACTGGCTGGTGGGGACGTCACAGCTGCGCACCTGGACCTGATGTGGTAGCAGATCAGCCTGGCCACAAGCCATCAGCTGGCTGTCCCTTGTATGCCTATCAAGTGTATGTGCATCCTGGACACCTGGGTTGTGTGTGTGTGTGTCCCAGACACCTGGTGTGTGTGTCCCAGGCACCTTTATTCTGTGTGGTGATGTATGTATGTTTCCCGGGCACCTGGTTTGTGTGTACTGGGCACCTGTATTGTGTGTGTGTGTGTCCTGGATGCCTGCCAATGCTGGTGGGCCTGGCACCACACAGTATCTGGCTGTTTGGATCTGTGAAGCCTTGGCCCATTAGCTCCTCACCCATGTGGACTAGGAGCCATCCCCAGATGAGTAGGGCTGGGGGCCTTCAAGTGCCCCCACAGTGGCACCAGGCCATGGGTCTCCAGCCCAGGGCTCCTCTGGCTCATCATGGGTACCACAGCTGGCAACCCAGGCTGGCCAGGCACTATACCCTTTCCACTTTCTCTTCCCCCGCCTCCCCAAGGGCACATATTGGGGCTGCCAGGGAATATGGCCTGAAGAAGAGACTTGCCTTTTTAATCAAAAAGTTGAAACTGCTAAACTGCTAGTGTGTTTATTAAATGAAAACTGTGGAAGGTTGTCCACTCCAGAACTTGGAACCAACTTCTTGGTTGACATTGAGAGAGTGGGGAAAGACTCTGGCAGCACTGGATGGTTATGATGTTGAGGGGTGGAGGGGATAGGCAACTGTGGGGATTCAACTTAAACCTTGGGGCAGCGGGTGAAATGCTGTGTGCAAAACTGCTGCCCCTTGGTTTAATTAAAATGTTGCAGCTGCCAAACTTTTTGTGGACATAATAAAGAAAAACTTTGAAATGTTCCCTATTCAGGAGCCTGGACATGAGGCTATACTGCTCCCCCACAGCAGGACCTGGGCCTGCAGTGACCTGGCCCAGGGGGCTGGTGGGCCATTCCCCCCACACCTTCTCCCCTGCTTTTGAGTGCTCCTGTGACCTTCCTGGAACCTCTTTGGGGCCTGACAACTACCAGCATCCGGGGTAGCGTGTTTGCCCTGGAAGGTGGGTTGAGTCGCTGCCAGCTCCTGCATTGGGCATTGGGTCTCCGAGTGGGCCCTGCTGGATGCCTTCCTGGCTCCTTGGACCATGGATTAGGGGCTCCCAATTGCCATATCTCCTGTTCCAGGTCTCCTTTGCCCCTCAGCATCTCTTAGTCAATGTGTGGTGTGGACCATTCCTCCATGGCCACCATCCAGGGCCACCTCCCTTGTGGGACTCTCGGGCATGTCACCTCAGGGAGGAGTCCCTAGAGTGGTGCTCTCCATGCTGGCGGGGGCTGGGCACCACTCCTGCCTGTGAGGCAACTGTATCCCCATGGGAGGTAGTGCTGATACCACATAAGACAGACCCTAACCACTTCCATGCTGCCAGGTGTCTGGGCCTGTGGAGAGCCTGGCAGGCTGGCTACTGTGGCTTTGTGTGTTGTGCTAAATTTAGGTAAGGGGTGAATGGAAATGAAATGATTGTTCAGAGTAATCTGGTCTTAAATCCATTCCTGTGACATTTTATACCAACAGCAAATGGGTCCCTCATTGGGCATGACCTTGACAGAGAAGCGTGGGTCAAGTTGAATAGACTGAGATCTGGATACAGACACTTCAAAATAACACTGTACAAGGTGAACATCCTGGACAGCCCCCTGTGGGAATGTGGTGTCCAGCAATCAGCACAGCACTTAATTGCAAGCTGTAATGTTTACAAATGCCCAGGCAGAGTAGATGGAATCTGCATACTGAGCCATAGTATCAGACAGTAGCTCGTAACTGGCTGGAGAGAGAAAGGTGTGGGGGCTAGTGGTGGTGGCGGGGAGGTTGGAAATGGGGGCTTCGACTCCTCGGTCACTTAAAGCCTAGGGGTAGGGCTGGCCCAGCACTTCAGCAGACCAGACAAGCTCTGGCCAAGGCTAGGAGGGGGAGGTGGGTGGGCTGCCTTAAAGCCCCAGGGTTTGCCGAAGGAATGTGACCTAACATGAGTCTCAATAGGATCTGATACAGATATTCATTAAAGTGCTCTAACCTACAATGCTGAAGTCATATCCATGTAAGGTTATTTTAGTGTGGGATCTGCCATATTTACAGCTTTTTGTGTGTCCTTATCGTGCAATAAGTGTAACTTGTACACTTGGCCTTTGGTACTACTTTGCCCTGACTTCAGGCTAACATGGCTAACACTTGTCTACCCCTCCTCTCTTTGGAGAGAGGTGGTCACTGGAGATCCCAAGAGTGATCATGTTGATGATGGAAAAAGCAGTGGCCAAACACAAGGCCAGAGAGATTGCAGAAAGCATCACGTATTTCTAGGCTGGAGCTCCTGTGTGCAGGCAAGCGGAGACTTTTATAAGAGATAGACACAGTAAAGAAGTGAGCTCTGAGTGTGGAGATACTATTCAGGTAGCTTTTATCTGTAGCATTGCATTTATTCATTTTGATTAGTTTTTTCCTTATGCTGGGCTTCAGCTTCTACAGATTATATTCTTGTAGGCTGTCTGGCATGTAGATTTATATTTCTGGTCTCCTGTATTATATATAAGAGCACATGTAATCCCATGTCTCTGGATGTGTTATTGGCAGCAGGGGTGGAACATGTAACCTAAGGAACTAAATGCATAAGTCTGTACTTAATGAGCAAAGAATCCACTTCTGTTGGCAAAGGTGTGGCAGGTTCTTTCTGTGGCTCAGTCACCACTAGAGGGGATTAAGGAACTGGATTGGGTAGGTTATAGGTAGAGAACACTTGTCAGCTAGGGCACATATTGCCTTAGGCAACTTAAGTGCCATCAGACTGTAGTAGATATTGAATCACCTGACTGCCCTCTGTTGGTTCTTGCAGCATTGTTTTTAGCTCCAGTTTTTAGGGCCCTGCAGGTTTCATTTTTTACATGATTAAAGTATTAACAATGCCATAAATAGTAACCTGGCTACACTTTTAAGCCAATTCATGGCATGATAATATAGCAAATGAGCCACAAAGATATTCCATGTGTAATGTGGATTATCTTTGTGGTTCATTTATATTGTGCCTTCCATTGAACTTGTGGCTGACCCATGACAAAGCCCCACGCTCAGCTGAGTATAGAGATCTGGCATGGGGCAGTCCCAGGGACTAGGACGGAGCCCTCCACTACCATGTCAGTGGGTTTGGGATGGCATCCATCCTGGTCCTGGCACCCCTTTCTGATTCCTGGAGCATCTCCCTGATCTTGGGCTCACTGCTCCTGGAACCTGTAACATGGGTCTTGGCAGACAGGGAGCTTTAAAGAACACTACTGTGGTGGCCTTCTTGCTGGGGACTTTAAATCCCATACCTGCTAGCTCTGGCTGGACTGCCATGTATGGGGGATTGGAGGCTCTTGGCAGGGTTTAAAGTCCCTAGCAGGGAAAGCCTTTTGGTTCTTGCCCCCCTTGCTCCCCCACTGGGAGGTTCTGATCTCCCATACCCAGTAGCTTGGTCAGAACTGCAGGGTTTAAGGTTTTGACTTACAGCTGAGTTTTGGAACCGTCACAGGCAGGGTCCTACAGGAGGGCCGTGATCTCCTTAAGGCCCCCTTCCTCCATGCCAAGTCGGCCCAAGGGCACCCTCCAATTCTCCTCCGCCACGTCTTTGCTGTTTAGATAAGTTTGGGGAGGCTGCCTTACGTCTTCTTGAACACGGTTCATTGTGACTTCTGTCCCCGTGGACTCCCAGGCCCCTTGTGGGTCTTGTCCTGCAAATGGGTGCTTTGGGGCACCCTAGCCTTATGGGCTATGCGTGGCTCCAACCACCCCTTATGCCACGCCCCAAGCCTCACAGTTGGAATAGACATTGGTCTGTCAAATATACACTCGCCCTCTCTCTCGGCCTTCTCGGTAGCGCCGCCCTCTCTCTCGGGCCCACCACACTGCTACCCCCTTCCTCTGGGGCTCACCATGCCCGCACTGGGGCTTCTCAATAGTGCCCCCTCTCTGGGACTGGGGTCTATGCACCCCATACACCGTGCCCTTACTGGCGCTGGGGTCCCCACACTACCGTGAGTCCCCTATGAGGATACTGTGCCCTTTCTGGCACTGGGGTCCCCATTTGGCTGTGAGTCCCCGATGAGGCCTCCTCCAACCCCTAATAGCCTCACCCAAACCACCTGTGTAACAACAAAACAAAACACAAGCCCCTAGGCTGTAACATAACTTAAAGCCACCCAGCTAAACCCATGTTGCTCAGACATCTTAGAGCTGCCATCCTTTACTCCGCTTGAGCAGTACCTGCGGTTCTCATATCTTTGCTCCAGGAGCTCCTTCTCTGTCTGGCTGCTGGCAGGGAACTACCTGGCCTCAGCTCCTGGGCTTTATGAGAGCCAGGCCCTGCCCCTTGCAGCCAGCTGACTGCTGGCAGGTGTGGGTCGTTTGCTGACTCCAGTTGCCCTGGCAACCACCAGCTGGGCTCCTTATTCACTGCTAGGGCTCTTTCTCTCGCAGTTTCTCCTCTTTAGGAGCAGGGCACTTCGGTGCTCTGCGACAGGATTTGTTCCTGACATTCCCAGTCTCAAGCTGTTCCAGCTGGGGCCAAAAATCAGCTAATTGTCAGCCCAGCCCCAAACCATACTGCAGCTATTTCAAGTCCCTGGTAGGGTCCCAGGGGCCACCTGCCAATCAGGTGGTTGCTGGCTGGGTTGGACCTGTGGGCACTTTTCTTTCCACTTGCCAGTGCAGGCAAATATCAGGATTATGATGGTAAGCAGTAATGGCGTGATTAGAATCTGATCCCTGATTGTGCGATTGCACTTCCTGCCATACACATGTGGGATCAGGAATCGGAGCCCATCGTACCATTAAATGAACATGTGCTAGGGGCCTTAGTTTCTTGGTTTGGAACATGTAAAGAAGCTAGCTTTTGATGGAAGTAAGCAGTAATGGGGAACCATAAGTGTTTACAGGCAGACAAGCAGTAGCTGCGGTGCAGCTGTGTGTTGTAGTTGTATCTGGCAGTAGTGGAACAAATAATAAAGCAGGTAAAGCGGGAGCTGGATAAGACCTTACAAGCATTAGCTCATGTAGAGTTTTGGAAGCCTAGGGCTGGCTCTGCTTCTTTAAGGACGATTTGCTTTTCTTCCATGTGAGCCATATGGCTTCATAAGTTCTTTGTGCGCCTGGATGAAAATTTCCTATCAAATCTTCTTTGCTAGAAAACTGGCATTTTGGGAGAATGAAAATTATCCCCAAAGCATCAGCTTTCCATGAAAATGTTTGTTTCTTATTGGACATTTTAATTTGCCCCCCATTATTTTGACTGAAAATTACCCAGTTTTCAGTTGTGCAATGAAAAATAAAATATTTTCATGGTGGGGCGTTGGGGAGGAGTCCCATCATGTGAGCAGCTCTAGCTTATGTGATGTTTCTAGTTCTTACTCTGATGTTTCATAGCATCTAAGGAATGAATCCTGTAGTTAGTTTTTCACCCTTGGAAGGAAAACGATAATAAAATGATACAGTAACTTTGCATATTGCTGCAATGACAATGTTGTGATTCCTTTCTCTTTTCACATAAAAGTATTATTATTCCTGAATTCTAAGTCCTTGCAGAGTGAGAGGTGGGCAGGGGATGCTTTGCTATGGATCACTGCTAAATAACGGAATGTACTGGGCAGGGGCATTCTAGACACTAGGTAGGATTTTTTTTCTCCTGTCTCCCCTTGCCTAAATTTCACAGGTCTGGTGTCCGTCATATCTTCCTTGGAAGATGAGGCCCCAAGATCTGCACAGCTGTAGATCAGTCAGCTTTCTCTTTTGCGCTGTGCCTCAAAGGATTCACTACAGTGCTGAGGTGTGCAAACCCTCTCAGAACAGTGTTCCCCATTATGCAGAGCATCCATCTGCCTACCACTGGGTATGTCCATGCTGCCTCAGTGAAACTGTCACTCTTCCTAGTTGCTCCCATTTCTTACCGGCGGTCTAGGGATCACTGCAGGAATAGTATAGACACATTCTGTGTTCTTCCACCATGCTGATCACTGAATAGCTAGTGACTATTCTTCACAGGTGTGCTTGAGTATGAGGGGTTATGTTATAAAATAACTCCTGTACTATACTGTGTTTGTGTTAGCAGTATGGAATAATAGCTGAGTTTTGACTACATTACTAGCTCAAGTGTCAGAAGCCCTCAAGCCTCAAAAGATATCCCTGACGCACCAGCTAGCTCAGTTTGAAAGCAACACTGCATTCAAGCTAACACACAAGAACTGTGTGTGAACGGGGTTATGAGCAATGCCCGAGTTATATCCCAAGCTGCAGTGGAGACCATTCCTAGTGCCTTTCAGGATGTTTGCCTTGCACTCATACTCACAAGGTAGAATCATGCCCACTGTCCTGTGCTCAGAGCCTTTCTTTCTCAGATAGTCTTTATGTGGAGGTTAATTTTGCACTTTCTCAAATATGTCCCATTAGTTGAGCTGTATTGAGGAATGACCCGTCTGTTTGTATCACAGCTCCACTTGCACTAGACAGGCATGTTTCAAATGATTTATACCTAGCTCTTCTGTGTTAGCTTGTACCTTGAGCAGCTAATTAAAAGATGCATAGTCTTTTCAGTATTGCCAGTCCCATGAAAAATGAACCCAACGCCCCAAGATTTGAAAAATGAGCAAACCCCCCCCCCAAAACCCCCAGGGTATTTAATTGTTTTCTGACTGCAACATGTCACACTTGTCACATTTGTAATCCAAAGGGTTAGAAAGTATTTTTTAGTAAGCTGAGATTCTTATAGTTTACATAGTTCTAGGAACTGGAGCTTTAAGAAAAAACACCAAATACTGGGAAAGAAATTGCAAGCCTCCAACACAGAGGTACATAGGCTACAGGCACTGAAACTTGAGGGCTGAAGATGTACAGTTAGAAATACATTGATTGCATCTCTGGCAGATAAAAAAAAAAAATGCAGAGAGAAATCTTGGGAATGTTAATTGCCCCTAAAATGTTTTTTAAGACTGAAATTGCAAACTGTAGAGAGCCGGCCCAGAGGAATTAGGATGTGTGAAGGAGAAATGTCCCTGAAATATCCATGAAACTTTTTGAATTCAGGTTTCTCTATAGTAAAAATTGCATAACCTGTCTAGTTGAGCGTAAACTGTAAAATTAAGCAGGCAGCTGATATAATGCAGCAAGTTCAGTAAAAGCCTGGATGTGTCACTTCCTTTTTAATTAATGTTTGGACAGTACTTTGAACATGGAAAGCAGTAAGAAGGCAGTTTACAAGTTGAGCATATTGTTGTTGTTGGTCCAGGTTCCAAAGTCTTTACCCAAGCAAAGCATCCATCAACTTTTGATTAAGTACTTGTATTGAGAGTTGTTGCGTGTTTTTCTTTAGCTTGATTGTAGAAGAAATTTTAGCTCTTGCTGGAAAGAAAAGTTACTATAATTTAGGGTAAAGGACACCGATTCATTTTTCACTTGTGGCAAAAATTTTAGTGTGATAGCCCAGCTACTACATAGACCAACAGGAGTAAGAGCCAGCTTAAAAAAATCAGAGGATTTATTTTAATATGTTGTTTAGCTTTTCTGTTTCTTTTTTATTTAGTGAAAGATGGGGTTGTTTTATAATTAACAAAGGCTGAACTATGTTCAAAGGAAGGTAGATAAAACTCACAACACTGTAAGAAAACAATCTATGTTGGGATGTTTTTGAGTGTACCACTGTGAGATATGATGAAATTGCAATTTGATGCAAATGGAACATTATGCTTGCAACAATCAGAGATGCATGGTAGAGATAGACATGGATTTGTAGGATTTGAAAGACATTTAATACACCAGATGTCTCTCTTGGCTTAACTTCTGGAAGTGTCTGACTGTCTTAGAAAGACTGGCAGCCCCATTTTCCTACGCAAGTGATGTTTGGAGGGCTTGAATAAGTCTTTGAAATTAGGGATGCTAAATATCTCAACCTTCCGATGTTTGTCCATCCTTCAGTAGTAACTCTCTAAAATGAGGAGCAATTCCCAGTTTTGTATGGTGTTTTACTTTTTAAAGTCATGCTTAGATTTTGAGAGCTTGTTCTTCCTTGTTCCATAGAAGAACTAAGTAATCCCAAAGCAGTGCAGCAGAAGAAATGTAAAGGAATGATTTTACTAGGCACATCTTTTGGTCTGAATAAATCTGATATAACATTTGACTCCTGTTTTTCCTAAGCTAATAGCCACTGTGTCTTGGGGACAGTTTTTGTGGAAAGACTGCATATGTGGGAACAGCGACAACTGAAGTGGGTAGAAGACAGTAAACTTTGAGCTGCTGCGGGAAAGATTTTCTGCAGATGAAAGCAGACGCATAGCATGGTGCTTGGAACTGAGTGAGCTGTGAAAAAGGAATAGTTCCAGGCATTGTAGAGCGGAGAGGTGGATTGTATTTGAACCCTTCTGAAAAGTGACCTTCCATTCCACTCCTGCAGCTGTAAAAGAAGAGCTGATCGCATGAATTGTAAACTAAGCTAAGAATGAAAGTCAGGAGGGAATACCCTAAACCTTCAAAAACAAAACCCATACCTGTTCATCTTAAGTAGTTTAAGTTTAAATTACAAGATGAGAAGAATCTGGGTAGAATTATTTAAACTATTAAATTGTATCCATTTGTTTGTTCTTGTTTCTAAAGACTGAGCTGTTTGAGAGCCTCACAAATACCTTGATAGATTAGGTAAATTTAATGGATTAGGGGGTTTGTGGTTGAGACAGGAGGATGTTAAGATTCAAACTGGGTTTTTTTGCGCTTGAATTTTATATTCTTCCAAATGTAGGGCAGATTCCAAGTCTCCAGAAGACTGCTGATAGAGGCAGTGCGAGATGTGGATTCCTACTGTTTGTAGTTCTGTGATCATAGACTGCTTGATCCTGCAGTCCTCTTGCAGGCAGGTCTCCCACAGACTTCAATGGGACATTTGCCTGCATCAGGAATGCAAGATTGAATCCTGAATTGTGTACAACAATGCAGCATGACCCTCTAGATGTGGGAATAGATAGATGTACTTGCATTCTCATTCTCTTTC